TGTGCTGCACACTCAGGGTGTGTTTTGGGGTGTGCTGCACACTCGGGATGTGTTTTGGGGTGTGCTGCACATTCGGGTGTGTTTTGGGGTGTGCTGCACACTCGGGGTGTGTTTTGGGGTGTGCTGCACACTCCTGGTGTGTTTTGGGGTGTGCTGCACACTCGGGATGTGTTTTGGGGTGTGCCGCACACTCGGGATGTGTTTTGGGGTGTGCCGCACACTCGGGATGTGTTTTGGGGTGTGCTGCACATTCAGGGTGTGTTTTGGGGTGTGCTGCACACTCGGGATGTGTTTTGGGGTATGCTGCACATTGAGGGTGTGTTTTGGGGTGTGCTGCACATTCGGGATGTGTTTTGGGGTGTGCTGCACAATCCAGGTGTTTTTTGGGGTGTGCTGCACACTCGGGATGTGTTTTGGGGTGTGCTGCACATTCAGGGTGTGTTTTGGGGTGTGCTGCACATTCGGGTGTGTTTTGGGGTGTGCTGCACACTCGGGATGTGTTTTGGGGTGTGCTGCACATTCAGGGTGTGTTTTGGGGTGTGCTGCACACTCCTGGTGTGTTTTGGGGTGTGCTGCACACTCGGGGTGTGTTTTGGGGTGCATTACAGGTTCAGGATGTGTCAGGTGCCCTATGCTGGCCCAGGGTGGGAGTTGAGTCCTTCTCTCTGTACCTTTGGGGTTGTGTGACCACCCTGAGCTGCTGGGGAGGTCCGACCACCCCAGATCCCGGTGTCTGGGGACACAGAAACGCCGCCAGTGGTTGTGTGTGCCTCTGACTCCCTCTGCCTTGTGCCCCTTTTGCCATCGTCTCATTCCTGCAGCCCTGGGGCTTTTCTTCTTAAAACTCGGGATAATCTGAAGTAACTGGATTAACCTGCTGTGCCCTCGCCACGGGCAGCTGGGCCAGAGCCCGGCCACCTCCAGGGAGGTGACAGAACCTCCCCAGGGCCACCAGCAGAGCTGCAGCGCGTGGCGGTGTGGGCAGGAGCACCCCTGGTTTGNGAGCCCGGCCACCTCCAGGGAGGTGACAGAACCTCCCCAGGGCCACCAGCAGAGCTGCAGCGCGTGGCGGTGTGGGCAGGAGCACCCCTGGTTTGGCGTCTCCCAAAAATCCCCCCGGCTCTCCCAGGAGTATCCCCCATCCTCTGCTCAGGGCTGGGAGAGGGGACTCAGTCCTGGGCTTGGCTCCGCTCGCATTTACAGCAGTGTCACTGCTGTTTACTCTGCGGGGATATAAATGAGCCCGCAGACTTTCACATTCCCTGGGCAGGCTCGATTTGTTGCCTGGGATTGATGGGTTTTCTCCCCTTGGCTCCCTTCCCAGAAAAAGCAAATCATAAACAGAAGGAGAATATTGGTGTCATGTCCTGGGCATTAACCGACGGGAGGGAAAACACTCCGTGTGCCACCCCCCCATCCCCGGCGTCCTGGCTCCTCTCTCCAGACAAACAGGGGGAAAAAATCCCTGGTGCCTTCATCCCGAGGAGGAGGAGGAGGGCTGCTGGTGGTGATCCCAGCTGGTGATGGGGCTGCAGGATTTGGGGCA